CAATATGTTCAAAAAAATGCAGGTTCTTAACCATATCCTGTGACTACTTCATTGATATTTCAATTTTAATTTGTATACAACTGGCTTCTATACACCTTAAAATGGCTATAGGGTACTATTCAGCTGTCATGTGTCCTTTTATCATTTTTAAAAACAAATTCATTTCTTTTTATTGGAAAATCAAATTGTACAGAAAAAAGGAGAATCAGAGAGAAATATCTTCCACTGGTTGGTTCACTCCCAAAGTGGCCACTTTGGCCATTGCTGAGCTGATGTGGAGCCAGGAGCCAGGAGCTTCCTCTTAGTCTCCTGCAACTGTCCTCCTCTGTTACTGCAGGATGCAATCAGGGAGCTGGATGTGAAGTGGAACAGCTAGAACATGAACCAGATCCCCTGTGGCATCCCTGTGTGTGCAAGGTGAGGATTTAGCCACTGAGACACCATGCTGTGTCCCGACAGACGTGCAAAACCACACCTCAGACCTGCAACAGGCTGTCAGCCCCTCTGCCCCCCAGGCTGTCAGCAACATCTGCCTTCTTTCAGGCCTATGTCACATAGACAGTCACATAGACAGGTGCAGGGTTTATTAGCAACTCCTGGATTTTTCGTGAGCTCCAAGGAGTGAGAATCTGTGTGGGGCACTGTGTGAGGCAGCAGGATCCAGGTAGGTTCCGTGTGCTCAGCTGTGCCCTCTTCCTGAACCTTCCTCCTGGGCTGCCCCACCAGGAGAGAGGACACTGTATGTCTCCAATGTCCTGTGCCATCACTGACCACCTATGCCTTTATTTCTATCCTGATGGAAAACCATGAATGTAGGCTTGGGCACTCAGCACAGGGTAGAGACACAGCTTGGGATGCCCAGTCCCATCTCAGTGCTCTGCTGGAGTCCTGGCTCCACTTCCGGCCCAGCGTCCACCCAGTGCACACCATGGGAGGCAGCAGATGAGGCATGAGGACATCTGCACTGAGTTCTGGGCTCTGGGCTTGTGCTTGCCCCAATCCCAGCTCTGTGGGTGTTTGGGGAGTGAGCCAGGAGATGGGGGAGCACTTTTCTTTCACAAAGATGAAAGAAATCTTCAAATAAATAAACATAAATTTCTGACCCCTCCCCCTATCTTGTAGTGCTCTTTGTCCACAGGCCCAGGGGTTCCCAGTGTGGGTGACAGCAGTGTTGATCTTGGGGCTCTCAGAGATCACAGGCGCCTTTGACCTTGGCTGTGCCCTGTCTGCATGTGAACACTGGGAGCTGAAACATCACAAGCTGAGACTGAAGTGATTGCCCCTCCCCGCTGACATCCCAGCTAAATAGGAAGGTGTCCAGTGAGGGTGGGGCCTCCCTGGGAAACATAAAGCTGACTTTGATTTGGAACTCCCTGCCCCACTGAGCACCTTGCTAGTCCTGCCCAGCACAGCAGCCTGGGGACAGTCAGAGTTCAGGAGAAAGTTGTGGCTCAGAACTGGGTGCATGTGTTTCCCACCTTGTGAGCCTGGAAGATCCTAAGTGAAACTGGGTTGTCTGCACCCAGATCTCTGCCAGAGTGTCCCCTTACCATGTGGGGCCCAGAGCCCAGGTATGCTCAAGGGACCATCCTTCAGGGGATGCTGAGGTCCAGGTGGGAGTCCTCTCTCACTGTCTGTTGCCAGAGTGTGCCCTGTGGGTGGTGCTTCAGCACCAACCTGAGCCACACGCAGATCTCCTGGCCACTTCAGGCTATCCAGCCTTCTAGTGATCATGGAATCCCCTCTGCACATCTGAGGTCCCAGATTCTCATAGTGAACTCAGCCCTACAGCTGGCTGGGCTGTGGCTTTGGTTCCAAACTTAGTACTGCAGGTCAATGTCTTGGTCCTGTGCATACTCTCAGCATAGCTACTTACTTCCTGGGTGCCCCATCTCTGCTCCTGACTGCAATTTTAGTCCATGTGGAGCCACCTCCCCAGTGTGTCTCCCACACAGACATTTCCCTTTAGTCCCTGTCATGGTCACTACTAGCCCTGCAGTGTCACTCAATTCTCAGCAACACCATGGCTACCGTTGCTAGTGCACTGAATGCTTGGGTGGCCCCTCCTGGGATCCACCCTCGCTGGTCACACTCTCTCACAGTAATGCCATCCCTGCAACTGGCACAGCCTGAAGCCCTGGCTGTCCTCCTTGCCTCCTCCTTCTCTTTCCCTGGATGCAGTCCACAGGAAGTGCTGTGCATCCATCTGCAGAAGGATCTAGGACCTCTTCTCTCCCACTCTGCCCATGCCCACACCCACACAGTGACTGGCATCCCTGCCTGGACACAGCAGGAGCCCCGAGAGCTTTTTCTCCAGCCTCACAGTCTCTCAACCCCATCCTCACGCAGCAGCCAGGGTGGTCCCTGGATAGGAGAAGGTGCACACATGTCCCTCCTCATTCCGAGCTGTCTCGTGGCTCCCACCTCACTCAGCGCCAGGGCTGAGCCTTCCAGGGTGTTGTCTCCTGCTGGATGGTGGTGCCCGACCCAGCATTCCTGATGGCTCCCTGCTCTGTGTGCAGACTCACTCCTGCCCAGGGCATTTGCACTGGCCGTCCCCTGCCTGCGCAGCACCTGCCCAGACACTTTTGCTTGTGACTTATTGTGTCCTTCCCACCTTCCTCAGGATCACCTCCTCAGGGCAGTGCATGCTGACCGTGGTGGTGAGATAGTCAGCTGCCCCAGCTCTCACACCCACTCTGGACCAACTTGCCCGGTACTGAGTCTGGCCCATGGCCATTAGTGAGCTTGTTGCACCTGCCCTTCCAGACCCTGTGGTTCATTAGTGGAGTTGAGACAGAGGCCGCCTGTGGCTGCTGCAGAACGGCATCCTATCCTCTGGTGTCCAGGTGGCCTGTGCTCTCTCACAAGTGTCCTCTGCCCTCCTGTTTCCCTCCCTGCCACATTGCCTCCTGCACACACAGAGCTGAAGGCCACCAGAGCTCACACACAGGAAAAGCAGATGCAAGCAGCCAACGACACTAAGGAACAGAATAGACACAGGAAGATGGGAGCCCAGAGCTGAACCCATGTGTGAATTTTGACTATCTTGGCCCCATGCAGCCTCCACTTCCTCAGGTCTGTGAGACAAGGCAAGGCTAACTATGGCTGAGTCCTGTGATGACAGGTGTTGGTGGGTACGTCCTACTAGAGAGACCAGGATATTGTGGCAGCTGAGCTGGGTCAGCAGTGACCACGACAAGGACTGTTGGTCTTGGGACCAACTGGGCACAACCCTGTTCTCACCCAGGGCCTCCCAGCCTTTCCTGTCCCACCTGCAGTGGACTCAAAAAGGAAACACATGGATTCTGGAAGGTTCTTGGTGCTTCTGGTTTTTTTCTTGCCCAATTTTTGGAATTTCCTTTTAATTTTCTCATGAAACACTCATTATTGGAATTGGAAACAAAAAGTGATTTTCTGTTCAGATCTGCACAGGAAAGATGAAGCTCCAGCAGGTGCACCTGACTTGAGAGAGAGATGGAGATGCCCACACTAGGCTGGGAGGGCCAGGCTCCCACCTCACACTGTGCCCACAGGAACACACTCAGCTGCCTGTGCAGGAAGGGAGGGCGGGGCTTTCTTCTTGTTCTTTTTTTTAAAAATATTTATTTATTTTTATTGGAAAGGTGGATATACAGAGAGGAGGAGAGACAGAGAGGAAGATCTGTCTGATGATTCACTCCCCAAGTGATCGCAACGGCAGGTGCTGTGCCAATCAGAAGCCAGGAGCAAGGTGCTCTTCTGGGTCTCCCACGCGGGTGCAAGGTCCCAAGGTTTTGGGCTGTGCTCAACTGCTTTCCCATACTACAAACAGGGAGTTGGATGGGAAGCGGGGCTGCTGGGACTAGAAATGGCGCCCATATAGAATCCCGGTGCATGCAAGGCGAGGGCTTTAGCCACTACATTATAGTGCTGGACCCGAGGGCAGGGCTTTTAAAGGATACCAAGATGGGGACTTAAGCAAGGTTCTATCTCTCAGTTCCAAACAAGGCAATTGTCTCACTCTACAGAAACAAGGTGAGAAATTGCACTACACATGGGGACAGGAACAGCTCTGCACACATGAAAATGTGCAAATACGGGCCCAGCACAGTGGCTTAGCAGCTAAAGTTCTTGTCTTGAAAGCGCCAGAATCCCATATGGACACCGTTATAATATTGGTGTCCCACTTCCCATCCAGTTCCCTACTTTTCCTGGGAAAGCAGTCGAGGACGGCCCAAAGCCTTGGAACCCTGCACCTAGTAGGAGACCTGGAAGACTCCTGGCTTCATATTGGTACAGCTATGGCCTTTGAGGTCACTTGGAGAGTGAATCATTGGATGGAAGATATTTCTCTCTGTTTCTCCTCCTCTCTATATATGTCTGACTAAGCAATAAAAATAAATAAATAAATCTTTAAAAAAATGTGCAAATGCAAGGAATCCCCCAGCCCCGCTGTATCCCCTCAGACCTGCCCCTCTAACCCTCCAGTTCCTCCAGGTCTCACCTTTAAAGCCCTGGGCACTGTGCCCATCTGGGAGAATCAATCAGGACTTGGTGAGAGCCCTGGAGGTGTGGCTGAGGGAGGAGCTACAGGGTGGGCAGGGCAGCTTCTCCATGGACATCTGACTATGGCAAGTGCTTTGGAGATTCCCCCAACTCCAAACACACCCCATTGCTTACTTGCAGCCTTAGTGTAGCTTCCCCCATTCCCAACTGTGACAGAAAATAGCTGGTGACAGACAGGGAGAAGGCAGGAGCTAAGGACTGCTTCATCTCAGAGATGTTTCTAGAATTGTGGCTACAGACCCAGGAGAGGATCAGATGGTGCTTGAGGAGTTCCTCAGCAGGGACTTTCTCCTGACCCGGTGCTGCTGGAACTCAGGTCCCTGTGATCAGAGTCATCCTCATGGAGTATGCATCCTCACCTTCACTTTTGCATTACACCAGTGTGAGCATTTGGGGCTCAGCTAGGGGAGCTGGTGTGTTCATGGTGCTTCCAGGGTTTAGGGAAGGCAGACCTTCTCCCCAGGGGACAGGAGACTCAGACCCAGCCCTCACCCTGCCCTACCTGAGCTCTTCCTCCTAATCATCATCATCACAGCAGTGACCACAGCTCCAATGAGCACAGCTGCCACGAGGACCAGGCCAGCGATGACTCCCCACATGGGCACAGTGGGCCGAGGAGGTTCTGAGAAGGGAAGGGAGAAGGAGGAGCTCTGACACCTTGGTTTCGGACCTAGCCCTGCTGAAGGCTCTGCCCCTCACTTCCCTCCTTACCCCATCTCACAGTAAGGGGCTCAGGCAGCCCCTCATGCTCCATGTGGCACGTGTATCTCTGCTCCTCTCCAGAAGGCACCAGCACAGTTGCCCACTTCTGAAAGCTTCCATCCCCTGCAGGCCTCGTCTCCACCAGCTCCATGTCCTGGGTCAGGTCCTCCCCATCTCGCTGCCAGGTGAGTGTGATGTCCTTGGGGTAGAAGCCGAGGGCCCAGCACCTCAGGGTGACCTTCTGGTCAGAGACTGGGTGGTGAGTCACATGTGCTGTGGGTGGGTCTGGGGGGAGATTTGGACAATTCATGCCTTTCATGTTTTTCATGTGACACCAAAGCTGCACTCAGTGTCCATCATGAGAATGGACAGGAGGACAGGGATGTGGGAGAGCATTGCAAGCCCAGACCTGGCCTGGATAAAGACAATGGGATCATCTGTTGTCTGCAAAGATGTAGAATCAGGTATGGTTCAGGCTGGGAGGACCCGGGTCTCTGATGGGATGAAAGGGATTTGGTCTTGTCCTGAGTGGAGGCTGAGAGACTGAGAAACCCTGGAGTGAATCCTCCCAGTGCATTGGCTTGAGGCTGAGGACAGGCCTGGGAGGGGTCACAGCTCACAGGACCCAGCAGGAGTCCAGGGCACCAAGAGGATTCTTTTTAGAATTCTATGCCTGCACAGTTCATATCCCTCTTCCACACTGAGGAACGTGTGGGTATCTGGCTCTGGACCCAAAGTCCAGGAGGACATCCCTGCTGTGGTCATGAGGAGAGGTGGACACAGACTTGTGTCCAACTTTCCTCCCATCCTGCGCAGCTTCAGCCCCAGCCCTAGGGGATGTGGGCAAGGGCAGCCCCTACAAGCTTTGCACACCTGAACGCTGAAGGATCTCCTGCCCTAACTCCAGGAATCTGTGCAGCGACTTCATGCACTCCTCCTCCAGATAAGATCTGTATCTTTCAGCTTCACCTGTCACTTCCCACTTGCGCTGGGTAATCTGAGCTGCTGTGTCAGCTGCAGTCCAGGTGCACAGGTCCTCATTCAGGGCGATGTAGTCAGCACCATCATAGGCCCACTGCCAGTACCCGAGGAGAAGGCGCCCATCTGCCCCGACTTCGCAGCCGTACATCTTCTGGAGTGTGTGAGAACCTGTCACCAGTCCAAGGTTAGCCCTGGTCACGCAGCTGCGCCCCCGCCCTCACCGATCCGCGGGGATTTTGCAGAAACTGAAAACAAAACCCGCGTGTCTTGCAGGCTTCTCCCAGCGGAGGATCTCCGCGGGGCGCGCAGATTAGGGGACCTCGGCCCTGGGGACCTGGGACGACCTGGGCGCACGAGGGAAGGGGTCGGGTCACTCACCGTCCTCGCTTTGGTTGTAGTAGCTGCGCAGGTTGTTCAGGTACACATGGTTCAAGTGTGTTTGCTCTTTTCCGTGCCATGTGTGCCTGTCCACGTACTCCTGTTCCACCTTCTGCATCCATGACGCCTGCAGTTCTGCCTTCGGGTTCTCGGCGTCGCTGTCGAAGCGCCCCAACTGCGTGTCGTCCACGTAGCCCACGGCCGTGACATGGGGCTCCCCGAGGCCGGGCCGGGACACTCCGGTGATGAAATATATCAGGGAGTGGGAACCTGGAGGGAGAGAACGGCTTAGACCCGGAGCTAGACCCGGACTGATCCCCGCTTGGAGTCATACCTGGGATTTACGTTTGTGGAGGCTACAGGGAAGGAAGGGTCCTTGGAATTGCTAAGCAGTAAAGGCGCTGAGGGGAAGGTTCTGAGTGAGGGGAGGGCGGGACGGACTGAGGTGGGAGCATCTGCTCCGGGGGTGGCACAAAGGCCTCTCCCCGGGGTCCTGTGTCCCTCCCCGCGCTCCCCTGGCTCCTGCCCCGCACCCCTCCCGACCCGCACTCACGCTGCTCGGTATGGGTCAGGGCCAGGGCCCCCGCAAGCAGCAGGAGGAGGGTTTGGGGCGTCATGGACCCCATCCTGAAGGTCTGGGGAAGACTCTGATCTCCCCACTGAGGGCTCCAACTTTAAAATCGGTATGGGAGTGACTGCGCTGATTGGCTTTTTCGGAAACCGCTTGTCCAATGGGAGTGCTGGCAGTGTTGTGTCCCAAATGTCTTGGCAAAAGGACCTGACTCCCAATCAGGAAACTGGCATTGAACTCCACAAGGCTGAGTTTCCCCAGCCCAGATCTGCCCTGGGACTGCGTCACTGAGAGCCACCCTGGGAATCTGAGCCTTTTATCCCAGGTTTGCACTAGCACCTGGCACAGAGGCTCCTTCTGCACCATCTTCCTGAGACCGACTCAGTGACTAAGTAAGTCAGTGATTCTCAGATGTTTTGGTTTCAGGATGTTTATGCTCTGCAGAATTAGTGATGACCCCAAACAGAAACAGAAGTTGGGTTATATGTACCAATAGTTCAAATTCAGAAGTGGAAACCATTTTAAATATAATTGACTCATTAAAAATATCCCATGGCTTTTAAATGAATACTGTTTTTACAAGAAATAACAATTTTCAAAGTAAACAGGATAGTGAGGAAAATGAGTCTTTACATTTTGACCCTCTGCACCTTTAGTTTAGTTAGAATACTGAATTTTCGCTTGTATTCTACAGTTCGCCTGATTTTTTTTAAATTGTAGTATGTGGAAAAAAAAACCTAGCATGAGCAAATATGTAGGGAGACTATCTTAATAATGTATCCAAACAGTTGTGAATATTCACCCTTGATCATACACTAAAATTACACAAGTGCCAGCTTTTAAAGATTATTTGCAATGTATAAGCTGAAGCTCTATTGTTGTATATTTTGTTTTCTGGTGTGTTAAAACTCATAGGTTCATCCTGCACACTGATTGGATTTTGTGCTAATGCATGATTTTTTTAAAGCATTCTGTAATGCATTGTATGACCACATGTATGTATAATTTGGAAATAATTTTAAATCTCACCTTCAGTAATATCACAGATTCTAAGAGAAAAGATTGTAAGTACTGGGAAGCTGTCTAATTTATGGTGATGGATTCAAGGTTTCACAATTCCTGTTTTCCTTTTTAGAGTTTAGGTGTCATCTAGGGCAATCAAAGAAGCAAACTCTATCTTTAGAGACAGGACTGGGGAGTGGTAGCCAGTAATACTCCATGCCAGGGGTCCAAGGTTACTGCCTTGGCTCTGCTGTATTACTGGATCAGCTGTGAGACATGGGATAGGGTTGAGAGTTGGTGTGTTGCTCCCTGCCTCCTCAATATGTACTGGAATATGTCAACCTGAGCCCTCCATTCCCTTTTGAGCATTGCATTTGATCTGACCAATGGCCTTTGGTGTTGACAAGCAGCCAGTGGTTTCATGTTCTGCAGGCTCTTGAGGCATCAGGATGTCTGCTTTGAGGAACCAGAATCAGTGGATGTATGTCCCAGCCTCTGCCCACAAGTACCATTTTATAACTTTTTTTTTTTAGGGTTAATGGATGGTAATTTTGTCCTGTCATTTTAGCAATGGGTTGTTCATTGATTTAGTCTTCTGTTGTTATTTTACTTGGATGTTCTTCACATTTGCCCTTTTTTGGTGAGTATTATTTCTCTTCTCTGTCAAGAGAACATCTATAAGCATACTTTGTAGGGTAGGTTTGGAAGAGACATATTCTTTGATCTTTTCTTTACTGTGGGAGAATTTTATTTCATTTTCAAAGACAAAGGAAAGCTTTGCTGGGCACATTATCCTGAGTCGACAATTTTTGCTGTTAGAATCTGGAATATGTTGTTCATTCTCTTCTGGCATGTAGTTTCCTTCTAGAGGTCTCCTGTGAATTTAACTGGCATTCCTTTATATGTCAATTGATTTTTTTTTTCATGTGCACATTTAAGGATCTTTTCCTTATGTTCGATTGAAGAGAACTTGACTATTATGTATCATAAAGATCTCTTTGGGTCAACCCTGTTGGGAGATCTGTGACCCTCCTGGATCATGTTTCCCAATTCTCTAGATTAGGGAAATTTTCCCTTTTTAATTCATTGAATACACCTTTAATCCAAGTTTCTCTTTCTGATTCTCCTGGTGTTCCCATAACTCTTATATTTGGCCTTATAATAGTATCTTTCAATTCATGAATACTTTTTTTTTATTTGATCCAGCTTTGCTTCCAGGTTTTTGTTTGTTTCCCCCTGATGACAGGAAATATCTGCCAATTCTGAGATTCTTTCTTCTGCTTGTTTCATTCTATTTTGGAGACTCTCCGCTGAACTTTAAATTTGCTCCACTGTATTCTCCAATTTTGATATATCAGCTTTCTTTTGATTCATTTCCTTTGTGACATATTTCTTAATTCCTTGAACTGCTGCTTTGTGTGATTCTTGTTGTTGATAAGCACTTTATAAAAAGCATTTTGAATTCTGTGTCCCCCATTTTCTCAATGTCTTCCTCAGTGAACTCTGAGGTTGGCAAAGGATTTTGCTCCTTTGCAGGGAAGTTTTCAGTAATATTCACTGTGCCTTTGTCTCTTCTTTTGCTCTTGGTCATTGTACTTTTGATTATCAGATTTTTCTCCTTGTGGCGGGTTTCTAAGCTGTGTCACCCACAGGTCTACAGTTCAATTTTACTTATTGCAGTTGGTACACAATTTTTGCTTGTAGTCACTTGTGCCACTCCCTCCAGTGAGTTCCAGGTCTGGGTTCTTATGTTAGATTTCCACCATGGTCTCCATAGTCCCAGCTCTTGGCTCACCACTCTCTACCTCCTGTGATACCATGCTGAGGCTGCACCATTGTCTGTACAACCTTTCTCCCACTTCCGGTTGGATCAGTTCCCAGGATTAGGGAGACTCCAGGAATTCTATATAATTAGGTTGTGTTGGTGCTGATCTTGCTGGAACCTATTGGCCTTTAGATCTGAGGTCCTCACGGGCCTAATTTGACCAGCAAAATGCCAAAGTCAATATTATTTTCCTGCGGAACTAGTGCACTGAGCTCCATTAGTTTGCTCCCAGCTCAGCACATGTGTAGCTCATTGTTTTCCCTGCAGTCATAAATTCCTTTCCACACCATACAAAATGGCACCTGATGTGCCACGACTAGAGTTCTTAACCTGCTGGCCATCAGGTCTGAGGGCCACCAGGACCTATCTTGGCTGGAACTTGTAAGATGCCATGTTGTTGCAGTTCACTGAGCCAGAAATGAGTTCACTCCCAGCTCAGTGCATGCTCAGTCCTGTCCCATAACCTTTGTCTCTCTATACAAAATGGTGCCTGATTTGGCTCTGGGGGGCAGACTGGGCTGTGAAATCCACCCTCTTCCTGCACTGCCTCCTTAGCTCCCGGTGAACGTCCCTTCCCACCTTGTTGCTGGTGTGGTTCTGGCCTCTGGTGCAATTCAGACCACTGCTCGCTGAATGCTGCTGGGGTATCAGTCACTGTAGCACCACATCATTGTGTCCGCTGCTTTGTTGTGTCTGTCAGTGTGCAGGTGCCCCTCTGCTGTTCTGTTCTCTCCTATTTCCTGGAATGTGTCCTCTCTGCTTCAGACTGGCTAATGTTTCTCTGTTTAAACATGTCCTTATCCTATTTCGCCATCTTTATTCTCTTCTCAATGAGTTTTTCTAATAGGATACTGTAAGGTCTCCATATGTCTTGTGTAGCTAACTTTGAGAACCTATTGCTTTACATAATTTAGCCTGTGCTTCAGGTTAGTGTCCATAACAAGTACTCAAGTCAGTGGACACTGCCTAAAGTAATCAGAGATTACTGATAATCTTTAGAACATATACTTGTAAAACAGGAGGGATTAAGGAAGCGGCTGGGGCTGCGGCTGGGGCTGTGGCTGCCTGTGAGCCGCTCTTGGGGCATGGGGTGGTGCTGAGGGAGCCAAGCTCAACACTGGGAGTGTGTCCAGCAAGCGCAGCGCCCCTCCAGGAGTCCGCAGCCAGAGCAGCCCTGGATCCCTAGCAGCTGAGCCGGCCCTGCAAGGAGGAGGACAAAGAGCCGCTCATCGAGCTCTTCATCAAGGCTGGAAGCAATGGTGAAGGCATAGGAAACTGCCTGTTTTCTCAGAGGTTCTTCATGATTCTTTGGCTCAAAGGAGTTGTGTTTAGTGTCACAATTGTGGACCTTAAAAGGAAGTTGCAGACCTGCAAAACTTGGCTCCCGGGACCCACCCACTATGTATGACTTTCAACAGTGAAGTGAAAACAGATGTAAATAAGATTGTGGTCATGACCTAAGACTGTGGTCATGACTGCAAATACTTTGGGTAATTTGCATATCATTTGTTTTAGAAGTGTTCTTTCACTCTTAGAATGTGAATGCTGTAACAGGGCAGCATCCCTCCTGGCTGTGGCAGCGCTGTATCCTGCTGTCTGTAATGGACTTAGGCCAGGGAGCCCTTACCTTTCTCAGTATTCTGTGCTCCGAACCACAAGCCTGAGCACCCTGTTTTGTGAGGAAGCACAGTCCAGCTCTTGGCAGAAGTGCTGTTGTCTGCCATCCCAGTGCACTAGCTTGGTGGCAGTGTCCTGTCCACTCCCAAGCCCAGGCAGGTGTCAGAGAGGCCTGCTGAACCCAGTTTTGAGGTTTCCAGTGTGACAATATCAGAGGAGCGGTCGGGGGGCACCTGTGCCTTTTAGTGAGTGGTGGGCCCAGCGGTGCAAGTCAGGGCCATGTCCCCCCAAGGCAGGAGTGAGCAGCACCAGGCCAGGAGGCAGTTTCTCTCTAGATGGTTCTTGTCCTCGTTTTTATTGCCTAGTGATTACCTGTGGCTGTCCCTCTGGTCTCAGGAAGGCAGATTCTGAGATTTTCATGAAAACAGGTTTATTTTTCTCCTATAGAGATAAGGTTTTATGACTTAATCGAGGAAGTTGGATGGCGATTGGTAACAGACAAAGCCCATAAAAAGCCTAATGTTGTATCTCATGTTTCTAGAAAGGTCATAGCTTAAAATCTTCAGAGGTTTGGGATGTAGAAGTTTCCATGGCAGTTCCTATAGGGTATG